ACCCTATTTCTGGCATCTTTGTCATACCACATTTTCATTTTCATCTGAGAATTCTTCAAATTTTCTTGTGCTAATTTACAAGCATTGTAAAGTTTTTCTTTGAAATCAGACACATAATCTAAAAGATTAAGATCACTAGTCTCAGTCAGCCACTTTTCCTTCAACAATTTCAAAGGACCTCTAACTGTATGACCGAACACCAATTCAAAAGGACTGAACCCAAGAGACTCCTGGACTGCTTCTCGTGCAGCAAATAGTACAAAATGAACCCCTTCATCCCAGTCTTTCTCATACTGGTAACAATAGGTCTTCAGCATTGTTTTTAGGTTTGATGAAAACGTTCTAGCGCCCCCTGGGACTCAGGATGATAAGCAGTTGATCTATACTGCCTAATACCCAACTCATGCATGACTTGCTGGAACAACCCCGACATAAAATTTGAGCCTTGATCCGACTGAATTGCCTTGGGTGCTCCTACAAAACTGAAAAACTTGGTCAGGGCCTTAACTATGCTCTTTGCCTTTATATTCCTAAGAGGTATGGCTTCAGGAAATCGAGTGGATGTACACATAATGGTAAGTAAATACTGGTTTCCTGACCTAGTCCTAGGCAAAGGTCCTACACAATCCACCAACACTCGACTAAACGGTTCTTCAAAAGCTGGAATGGGTTGGAGAGGAGCAGATGGTATTTTCTGATTTGGTTTACCTACCATCTGACAGACATGGCATGACTTGCAAAACTTCGAAACATCCTTTCTTAGCTTAGGCCAATAAAAATGACTCAAAATCCTATTATAAGTCTTATTGATACCTAAATGACCTGCCATAGGTGTATCGTGAGCTAAACTCATTACATCTTGACGATAATCAGCTGGTACCACTATTTGGTGAACAACACGCCACACTTCATCTGCGGAAGCGTCAGGTGGTCGCCATTTTCGCATAAGGATACCATCTTTCATATAGAAACATTCTTCAACTTTAGTGGCCTCTTCTGGTGGAAGTGCCCTCTTGCTAAGTTGGATGATATCTGGGTCTTTATGTTGTGCTGAAAGTAACTGCTCTCGGCTTATGATATCCTTGTCTTGGCTTTCTGGTAGATTTGACTCATCTTCACCAAATTTTGGTAAAAGTTCTTTCTTCTCTTGCTTCTTGATATTGTGTGGTTCCATGCTTGTTTGAGTGTCATCAAGGTCAGATAAGAAAGTGTCATTCAAATCAATATCAACAGAGGAATTCGTCTCGTCAAAGGCTTGAGTATGGTCTGCCTCCATTTCTCGTCTTCTGGCCATCGCTCTAGTAACAGCACAGGCTGGATATATGTCATCATCTTCATCATTATACATGACATCTGGAGTGATCTTCTCACAAACTATAGGATCTGGTACAACTTTTCCACCAGCTAGATCGTTGCCTAACAACAAAGAAATGCCTGGAACGGGAAGAGTAGGTCGAACACCTACGATAACAGGTCCAGTAACTAAATCTGACTTCAAACTAATTCTATGCAGGGGAACATCAATGACGCCTAGCTCCACACCCTGTAATAAAACTGACCCACCAGTAGAAGTCTGCTCAGACAAAGGAAGCACGCCCTCTAACAATAACGTCTGTGCAGCACCAGTATCTCTCAAAATCTGGACAGGTTTAATTTCGCTAGAGTCACCGAGTGAAACAAATCCCTGAGACATAAAGGGCTTATAATCCTCCATAGAATCAATAGAACTGGACTGTGAACCCTGGATATCAGGAGTGTCAGAACAAATGGAAACTAAGGCTTCTCTATCACCTCTAACTGCCGCACAAGCGTGTGGTTGAGTTTTATCAAAGTCATTTTTTCTCTTAAGTTTAAAGCATTCACTGATCAGATGACCCTTTTTCTTACAATAACTACAAGTAGGAAGCGACCCTATTCCAGAAGATCCTTCAAAACGTCCTGGACCGGACTTAGAACCACCTTGGGATGGAGACTGGAAACTTGTGAAAGACTGAGACCCTGAACCACTCTTTTTATATGTGTCTGAATTGGTAGAATTACTGCTAGTCTGAGATCTTGATACAAAATTCTTTTTATGAGACAGAGCATAAGTATCAGATATGACTGCTGCCTCTTCAAGAGTTTTAACATTCTTATCATCTAAATGTGTTTTCAAATCTTGAGGAACACATTCCTTAAACTCTTCTACTAGGATGACTTGGCGCAAATTAGCAAAGGTTTTATCAAGTTTCTTAGATCTAAACCAGTGATCGAATAAATCTTCTTTCTCTCGTGAAAATTCAACAAATGTTTGATTATCAAACTTTCTATACTTTCTGAACTTTTGTCTATACGCTTCAGGTACTAATTCATATGCTTTTAATATTGCTGCTTTGACCTTCTCATAGTCTGAACTCTCAACTACCCCTAGTGCAGAGTATACCTCAGCTGCTTTGCCAACCAGTACACTTTGTAACATCGTTGACCAAACATTTCGTGGCCATTTAAGATTCTCTGCGACTTTTTCGAATTGGGGAAAATATTTGTCGACAGATTTTTCTTGAAATTTTGGAACTAATCTGATATTTTTTGCTGCGTCAAATTCAGTTTTGACAACTGACGGTTCTGGTTGGTGCTGTAATTTTAATTTTTCTAATTCAAAGTTCATTTCACGCTCTCTTTCTCGCTCTTATCTTTCTAATTTGTCTAATTCAAATTTTCGTTCACGCTCTCGTTCTTCTCTTTCTCTTTCTCGCTCTTCTCTTTCTTTTTCTCGATCTTCTCTTTCTAATTTCATTTTCTCTTTAATTTTCTAATTTTTCTCTTTCTAATCTCATTTTCTCTAACTCTACTTGAAACTGATATTCTGCCATTTTATAAGAGCCTAACTCTGATTTAATTGTATATTCTGGAAGATCGTATTTTTCAAAGACGTTTTCTTCTACTAGTTTGTTTGCAACCTTAATTCTAATGTCTTGCTTTCTCTGAGAGGATTTAACATCTAACCCAAAATGCAAACCTAATGCGATCAAGTCATCCTTTTTTAACGTATCAAAAACCTGAACACTTGGTGAACTAAGAAAGTCTGTGACCGAAAACACCATGTTGATTTCTGCTGGCTTATAATCAAATTTAACGGTTCAATAAACAAAATTCTGTCAAATAACTGCAAAAGTGCAAAAATTTCTTTATCCCGGACGAGCCCCCAATTCTGTTATGGGTCAGAATTACCCGAAATGCCAGCAAAGATCAATAACACAATTTAAACTTAACAATAATTTATTTACAGTAATATATAATAAATATATCAAACATAAAGTACAAACCTAGCAAGAATCTAAAAATACATACATCAGAGTGTCAGTTGCTGAACACAATGTCCCAGTGAAAATATATCCCAGTTATTTCTCAATAGTGCTTATACGACAAAGTATATCTATGCATCGAATTGACAGGGTATTTATACAGTATCATAAATCTAGAATATTCTAGAAATTGTTAAAACATGATATTACTGGAACAATCTGGACATACACAAAATTTAAGAATGTTCTAGATAAAATGACCGAACATGTTGACCACTCTGGAACGTTCAAGAAACTTAATGTTACTAATTATATACATAATGAAACAATACACATCTCACAACATACCATTTTCCTTGAATTTTTTAAGTGCAATTGCACTTAAATGTGCAAAAAGGATTTGGCGCTGCCTACGGCTGCCATGTTTGATGATGGGAATTTTTTGGTCATTTTTAGCTCTACTGGTCAGAGACAAGAAGAGCTTATGCGATAGTAATGCGTCCGTCGTCCGTCCTTCTGTCAGTCTGTCTTTCCGTCTGTAAACAATTTTTCAAAATGCTACTCCTCCTACAGATTTCCATATAACTTGGCACACAAGTAGACTTTACTAAGATACATAATTCTGTTTATCGGTTTTTGATTTCGATGAACGGTGTTGCCGTGGTTACTAAAAATAGAAATTTCTGTGAAATTCTTTCAAATTGCTACTCCTCCTACAGTTTTGGTCTGATTTCTATATAATTTGGCACTTAAGTAGACTACACTAAGAAACATAATTCTGGGTATCGGTTTTTGATTTCGATGAATGGTGTTGCTGTTGTTACTAAAACTAGAAATTTATGTGAAATTCTTTCAAAATGCTACTCCTCCTACAGTTTTGGTCTGATTTCAATATAACTTGGCACACAAGAAGACTACACAAAGAAACATAATTCTGTTTATCGGTTTTTGATTTCGATGAATGGTGTTGCTGTTGTTACTAAATATAGACATTTCTGTAAAATTCTTTCAAAATGCCACTCCTCCTACAGTTTTGATCTGATTTCAATATAACTTGGCACACAAGTAGACTACACTAAGGTACATAATTCTGTATATCATTTTTTGATTTCGATGAACGGTGTTGCTGTTGTTACTAAAAATAGATATTTCTGTAAAATTCTTTCAAAATGCCACTCCTCCTACAGTTTTGGTCTGATTTCAATATAACTTGGCCCACAAGTAGATTACACTAAGGTTCATAATTCTGTATATCAGTTTTTGATTTCGATGAACGGTGTTGCCATGGTTACTAAAAATAGAAATTCTGTTAAATACTCTCAAAATGCTACTCCAAATACAGTTTTAGTCTGATTATAATATAATGTGGCATGCAAGTAGACTACACTAAGAACATAAAGAGACTTAATCAAGGATCATTATTCCATTTATTGCTGTTGAAAAGTTTCAATTTCCAACTGTGTAAGTACTTTTCTCTTCCTTTCCTATAATTACAAACCAGTAGAGCTTCAGTCTCGATAGAGACTTTTGGTTGAATAACATATTATTAAGTCAACCTACCCACCAAATTTCATTAAGATATGACAACCTTCGATTTGGACAGTTCTTCGTTTTTCTCGCGGACTGACTCTTAAAGAAACATTTAGTTTAATTGAGTAATTCATGTTGCATTATATTTTTTAAATAAAATCAATAAAGTTGCATTTTATACTTAAGTTAATGGGAACTGGTCAGAATTCGGTCCTTACAGCGAGTGGGGAATCTGTTCCGTCACCTGCGGTAAGGGGAAAGAACAGCGAAACAAAAAGAGGGAATGTGATAATCCGAAACCACAAAACGGAGGACAAAACTGCACTGGGACAAATATATACACTGATGAAAGAGTGTGTAATTTGAGTCCTTGCCCGGGTATGACAGAACGCTTTCAATTTTCAATTCTCTAAATAAGTGTTTAATTTGTTATTTTGTAGTAAGAGTACAATATTCATGAAAACGTTTTATAATGTAACACATTTACATGTATCTAAAGTCAACGGTGGGTGGTCAGAATTTGTTCCATATGGTGACTGGAGTCAGTGTTCCGTATCCTGTAGCAATGGAGTCCAAACACGTGTCTTATTCCGAACGTGTTCCGAACCTGCTCCTCTTTATGGTGGTAAACCCTGTATGGGACGTAGCACGAGATTAGAAAACAAGCAATGTAGAGGACAAGGTTGTCCAGGTATAAAATGCACATACTTAAAACAATTTGAAATGCGGACATTTTTGTGAATATTGTTAAATAATTATTCAATTTAATAAATTTGATATTGATCCGCTTATTTTTTTTTTATTCTCCTGGAGAAAATTTTAAATAAAAGTATTTTCATGTATGTACTTAATTTCAAACAAGTTCCTGGTGGATGGTCCATTTATGGTCCATACAGTGAATGGACACAATGCTCATCAAGCTGTGGAAACGGAATTCAGGAGAGAACTCGAAATCGGACATGTAACAACCCGGTACCACAGAACGGGGGAAAAGACTGTGTTGGTTCGAGTATCGAACAGGAGCAAAGAAAATGCAACATAAAGTTTTGTTCTGGTTGTATAATGCTTTGAGATTTTCTACATTCAGGGGAATATTATAAGAGGTATAGCGCCCTTTCCCAGTATTTCACCCAGTACAACAATATATTCTGAACAACTTGTAAGTATATATACATGTTTAGATATTTACTCGGAAACCTATGTTCTGTGTTTGGCTACAAATTCAAGAGAAACACTTTTAAAGCTATATACATGGATTACATCTCTTCGATAACTTCACAGCCAGATAGCCTCTCTGCACACAAGAATAGATTGCTAGTATTAAATACTTTTCAGTATTGAAACATTTTTGATTTTTTTAAGCGGTTAGCTGCGCTAACCGCTTTATGGCATGTGTCGGATTTTTATCGACACCGGAAACTTCGATAAGGCGCTACCTATCGACAACGGAAACTTCAACAAAGCCTCTACCTAGTACCTATGATTTGTTTCTAACACATATAACATATGTTAAATAAAATCAAGACTATCAAAACAACATAATCTTTCGGTTTTTTAATTTTTTTCTGATTTTGTTTGTCAATGAAATAAATTTATAATTGTTGTATTAAAAAAAGTTTATGTATAGGAGCATTTGGTGTCCAGATTAAATTTCCGTGACATCAGCTGAAGGCGATCGGTTCGAAGTCAGCATGAAGTTTAGCTGATATCATTATCAACGCGTTAGATTTAAACTTTAGGAAGAAATGTATAGCGAGAAATATCATATTTGAACCCAATGCTACACGAAAACAAGTAGGCATTTCCGATTTATGTGTTAAATTGAAGCCTGAATCGAACAGGTGGTTAAAATGGCGTTGGACACCTTGTGTATTTATATATAGAGGGGGTAGAATGTTTCGATATTTGGCTAATTTAGAGACTGATAAAAATTCAGGTGCCTGTGATTAATTATAAGGCACCCCTCATGAACAATAAATATTTGACCGAATTATGCTACTTGGCACAGAGAGGACGGGTTAATTACTGGCTAAAGGGTTTGAAGGTTATTACCGACTGCAAAACATCGGAGAATCTCTCGATCGAGTTTCATTTTCCAAAAAATTAAGGCATCGTTTAATTAACTTAACTAATACTAGTGCACGAAGAAAGCCTTTATATAAAAATACTGAATACGTCTGTAAGTTGTACAGTTATGGATTACTTCCATAATGAAACGTTTGTTTTCTTCTCCTTTTTTTCTCAATTGAAATTATTTAAAAGATGATAAAAGCTTTATTTCCAGGGATAAATTCTGTACTCAGTCTAATTATTACAAACGATTTTAAACGATCACATTTTTATTAAAAAAAAAAAATAATGGGAACCTGAAAATATTAAAATTAATTTTAAAGAATTGGAGAAAAAAAATTTAATCGGCATTCGATCCTTTTCTAAAAATCAGCCGATATAAAATATCCACAGAAAAAAAGAGGCTTGAAAAATCTTGACGATAAGCACAAATTGAAAAATATATCTAATGAATGATTATTTTTGAAAGTTTGCTAAATTCCTATGCAAGGTATAAGTTGTAAAAATACTTTTTGAATTTGAATTTGTCAAATTTGTTAATTATCATTTTGAGCCTTTGAGAAGCAATAAAAATTAAAATACAGATGCTTACAGACATATTGATAGAAATTCGCATACTTGTTTTTAGTAAAAAAAACAAAAAAAAAAAACAATGCATTGCTTATGCGACATATTGAAGAAAGTGACAATGATACCTAGGTAATTCTTGCAATGGACAAATAAATTGTTTGTTATACACTGACTTTTAGTGAACCTTTGAATTTTTAAAATACTAGTATTGATGGATTAAACAACAACATTTTTTCCTTTTCACACGTTTTTTTTTTTTTTTTTTATTTTTTTTTTTTACAATATTTCATGAAAATTATTTGCTAAATACTCGGTATATATTCGTTTATACATATCGTGCAAGACTCTTTTTTAAATAATTGTCATATACAATTTACTTATTCGAACATTTAATTGTATGAAAAGTCAATAATGTACATTTCTTAAAACTTTATTATCTTGTTTACTTGTCTTTCTTCCTGTGACAGAAATAGTTCATAATATTAATAAACAGATGTACTTAGTATCTGTATCAAAATACAGAATGAACAGTGATCGGTCTCAAAAGAAAAACGGATCCTTGAAAGATCCGGTGCCTAGGAGAAGTAAGCATCCCCAATGACAGGTCACACCTGCTGACCCGCAGTGAGCCTACGAAACTGAAGCTCTCTGAAATTAATTAATTCTCTGCTCGTCCATCCGTTTTTCTCAGACTAGCCAGCTAAAGATCTATGTACAGTACTCCAAAATCAATTAATCTAAAGAATTTGAATTATCATTTTATTTTCTTTTTGAGTTGTTTGCTATAGTAGCCTTTACAGTTACCTAATTTCAGAATCAATAGAGCATGAAAGCTAATTAAATTTGCAACATCAACATAATTTGTTTTTCGTTCTGAGCACTTTTGGACGCCACCAATGGAGACAATTAGGGAGTAATTTTTGAAATTGAACTTCCTGTCTTTCAAACTGAAAATTTCAGGTTGATATTTTGAAACAAACATTTGTGACATCAGTCTGGGACGTTATTGGTTATACCATTTAGTTAAGTACTACAAAATTCAGTGTGTCTGCTTCTTCGCTGATGACACTGGAAAAAGATACCATTCAATGCATTTTTTGTTATTGTACACTGTACATATTCGATGAAAGCATGCTAACCGCTTTTCAGTACTTTCAGTACTTTGATTAACATTTAACAACTTAGGACAGTTTACACTTTATAAACCGCGAAGCGGTGTATAAAAAAAGCACACTTTCCCAAGTTATGTTATATTGTAGAACATAAGTTGAAATAAGTTTCATTCCTTATAATTTAATTGCAGTGCAGACAATAAGACAATTTTTTCTCCAGAAAAAGGCTTAAAATTTCATTTCACTTCGGAGTCGGTAGAGATGAGAGTCCCGCCTTTTTTCGGTATATATATAAGATGTATTTACAAAAAACAAAAAGCACACGCTAAGTAGCAATAGTTAAGCTTATTCTTGGTCATTTGTCCGGCTAGCATATACGTCCACTTTCCTCAAACACTTCGAAACTATGCGAAAGATTTCATATTTACATTGATCGTGTGGTTAAAACATGCATGTTTTGCACAATCTTTTTATTATGATAAAAAGTAATAATTAGGACACTTCCCTTCAAACAGTAACGGTACGTTGGGGGGGGGGGGTCGTTTCTGGAAAAAACAAAACGCATAGGGGAGTCGCAAAATAAAGTCAAATGCACTTATACTTGGTGTTATTTTTGGTTTTTATAATGCCAATACCTTTTTATTTACTCGGGGATATCCATTTGTTTACTGTTCCCTGATTACTATAACTAGTATCCATGCAGCATTTAAACTAAATGTTGACAAACATGTATAATGAACACAGGCACATGAAATGTTCTTTGCAGACTTGACGTTTTTGAAAGAGGGCAACCATTAATGGCATTCATAGACAGGGTTTGAGGGCAAAATATCTTTTGTCGGATCGACGAACCAAACTGTTTGCCCGAGGCTGTTAGTTTTGTTTGAGGGGTCGACAAAACGCCTTTTTGTCCGAGAACACATTCGATAAATCGATTTGTTACAATGTTTTCTGTTTATTATGATATTATCATAATGAAATGTTCACCAGCATTGCAGTTTAAACTTGGTTAATTCGTGTAAAAGATCTGACAGCTGACCCTGCCTATACCATGACGTAAGCGGTGCAATATCTCATCGACAGGTTCTATATCTCGCTCCACGGTCAAACAGCGTTTATCTGACCGTTAAGGAAACAGTAGAAAGGCTCTACATTTTAAGTATAATTTTTCACAACAACAATTTTTCAAAAGTATGACAAAAAATCATAAACAACAGAGTTTCTGCACCACATTTTATTAACATATTAGCAAATATGACTATGATTAAACCATACGGCAACAAAACGGCATGGCGCAGTCGTTAGAGCTCTAGAATTGCGAAGTAAGGAGTCAATCCTTACGTCGTGGGTTCGAATCCCACTGTGGGACGTGGAGACCGGTCCTTTGGATGCAGGCACATAGAATCGTTTTTGAAAGTGGTGTGGGTGGGGGCAACCAGAGAAATTTTTTTTTATCCTTACCTGTATAAGTTGACAAGCAAAAAAAAAAAATTGCCCAAACTCGAAAATCATATTTGGTGGGGGTATCATTCTGAGCACAATAGTCTGAAGTTTTAATCGTCAAAAAAAAAAAAATCCGGAAAAATTTTTTCCTACCCTTCACTTTTTAGTTAAGGGTAGGAAAATTTTTTTCCGGATTTTTTTTTTTTTTTTTTTTGACGATTAAAACTTCAGACTCCTATGTTCTGAGGAACTGTATATATATACCTGCGAAAAAGTAAGAGAGGGTATCATATAATTAAAGGTATACAGTTAAGAAATATTTTGGTATATATGTTCTGTTTAAACTTCAATGTTTTTCAAGGCCAACTTCCTTTCACCTCCAATTTTTTTGGATACAATACTACATTTCCTTGATATAACTATACAGGGGGGGGGGGGGCAACTAGCCTTTCAATAGACATTTTCAATATTAAAGGTAATGTTGGGAAAAAAGTTGGGGGCGGGCAGCCCCCCCCCCCCCCCCCCCCCCGTTGCTACGTGCCTGTGATGAGACCGTATAAAACGAGGTCCCATATCGCAGTAGGTGCTTGCACGAAAAAGATCTCTCCCTGCTCAATGGCCCTAAGTGCTCAGCATAGGACAAAATTTGCAGTTCTCTCTACTGGCAAGTGATGGCGTCTCCATATGAGTGAAACAATCTCGTGTGGGACGTTGAACAATATACAACAAGAAAACATTGATGTAACCATCAATTGTCGCCCGGGAAATATATAAGGTAAACTATGGACATGAGTCAATCATTAAACCGCTTCGATATGTGTGACAAGGCATGCGTCTAATTGATGGAGACGATAGTCGCGAATATTTGGAAAACTTATAGTCGGATAA